TCAAGTCCATAACCAAATGGACGAAGATTGAATTTCAGGTTAAAAATTTACGTGGTCAAACCGATCAAACGTGTATGGAAAACCTGCGCGCCTTTCTCTTCACGTTTTTTTTTTCGCCCGCTTCCCACTGGGAGCTGGGCCGTCCCCTTCCCGCTTCTTAGAGCAGGCGTGGACAGCGTTAATTTCCAAATTTTGCATGAACTTTTGTCTTTGCTTGATTTTGTTGCGTCCGGACAGACCCAAAAAACTGTTAGCGCAGAACGATGGTTCTCCTGCATTTGTGGCTCGAAATGGTCACCTCTCCATTCTGAGCGCACATTCAAACTCAGCCCGAAAAGTGGGCAACAACATCAGCATTCCGGCTTTGGCTCGGTCCGAGTGATGCGCGCGAGTCCGTTTCCTGAGGCCATTTCTATTTCCGAGTACGGTTCAGTGGCCGAGTGTTTTGCGCCGGCTGAGTACTTCCCCCCCGCCCACAAACGCATAATACGATTCTCGGCCTGTGTGCGTATGAAGGTGGGCAGAAAATTGTGATTCCATTTTAAAGTAATCCTCGCAAACAAAACCCGTGTGCCATATGCTTACTTTTTTCTCCGCATGTGACCCTGCCGCACCGTTGTTCAAATGCGGAAAACGTGCGTGTGAGACAGAAGAACATGAAGACATGCAACGCAGGAGGCATGTGTAACAGTTGGCTATTGGGGGAGAAGCCTTTTATGAACTTAGCCTCTGAAGAACCTGAGGATGATGAGGGGCCACGCAAGCAAAACAAAATAAAATTCCTAACGCATTGTGTCGCGCAGACGTACTGCGCAGGTAAACATGACCCGGACACACCGGGAAAAAAAAAAAAAAAACAACAACAACAAAAACAACTTGAATTGACCAGAGCGGCCCAGAAGGATGCCTGGGGCAAAACAAATTGTTCGTTTAACCTCGGAGTACTTGCGCGATAGAACCCGCTGCAAGTTGGAACCTTTCTCTCTTGCCAGCGTGGAAGGCGTTGCGCGACGCCTTTGCGCCTGCGTTTTACGTGCAAATGCTAGTGTCTGCTTAGGCAGAGCAGCAGTTGCTAGGTGTTGACAAAGCAAAACCCTAGATGCGCAGCAAAACCCCAGAAAGCAGGAACTTCAAATAAAGTTGCCTTGCATTTCGGTAGCTGAGCGCGGTTGTCATGGCATGTGTGTTTTAACCGCAGATTTTCGCTTGCTTGAAGCGGCCGCGCGATAGCTTGTCTTGCCGCTATGAACCCTCACTATTTCGAGTACCAGATTGACAGAGGAGTGGAATGGATTAGAATCTACTCACCGGGCACGTGGCGACCCGTTCCTGATGATGCTCCAGTGCTCGCACCGACCTACGCTTCCACGTATCGGGAGTGGCGCAGGTCATATCGCTTCCAAGTGTACTGGTCCGAAGACAGTACCGGAGGAACAACAACGGATCCCATTGTCACGCCTAGTTCGTATGTGTCCTACCACGTGTGGGAGTACCGAGACTGGCAAACACGAGGGTATCAACGACTTGGAGCTCCTGTACCAGCCATTGGTCTCGCGATGCTCGTGAATGCAGACGACAATTCCTCGGCGGACTCATCGGTTCCGGATGGGGCATGGCGGGAACCGTCACCACCACCATTCTATGATCCTTGGAACGAGTCGGGGTGATACTGGAGCAACATGTCGGATAAATTGACGCGGTTGTGCTTGCTTTGCATGCGATTCCATGTTGGGTTGTCTTGCTTGGTGTTGTGTGTCCCGCCTTCAGCTGTTTGCCGCTCTCATTTGACCCTGAGCGGTTTGCCTGGTTGATATGTTCAATTGTACAATGTATGGCGCAGCACGTTGGGTCCTACCTCGCTACTTTGACTACGACATCGTCAATGGCCCCGCGAATACGAGAGTGGAATGGATTCGGATCTATGTTCCCGGTCCGTGGCATCCAGTCGCCGAGAACACCTTGGGACCAGCCCCGGATGACACAACCACCTATCGGGAATGGCGTAAGGTTTTCCACTTCGAGGTGTATTGGCCGAGGGATAGCACAGGCGGCACCAATACAGGTGCTGTTTCGCAGCCGGTGTCTTATGCATCCTTCTATACTTGGTATTATAGAGACTGGGTCACCAGGGGATACCAACGGCTGGGTCCATTGCGCGGCCAGTTTTCGGGCGCACCGGGCCTCATGTACGCTGGTTTGACCTCTTCATCGGCATCCTCCAACTCGGATGGTGGCTGATGCTCGTTTTCGCAATCCTGGGGAGTCTGTTCAGTTCAATTAAATGCGGGAGATTGACTTCGATTTCGGAGCCGTGCATTGCTGCAAAAGTGATTTCTTGCACTGCGGCAGTTGTGTTTCTTTCAGCAATTGTTGTCTGAAGCCGTACACATATCAAGTTGTCTTTCTGGGTTTGCGGTGTCATGGCATGGCTAGAATGGTGTCCGGATCCTCAACAACCAAATGCCCAGTGGGTCAAGATCTTTCGTCCGGGATCATGGACTCCACATGAAGAACATGATGCTCCACCTCCTCCGCACACGTATCGAGAGTGGAAGGAGTTCTATGATCACAGCCCGCACCAAGACGGTGGACAGCTCAATGTCACCAAGTGGTACAAAAGAGACTGGGCCACAGAGGGCTATCGGAGAGTCGCCGCCCCTCAAGCAGGTCATGAATTTGATTCTATGTCTTTTCCTGATCAACACAGCGTGGCCACGCAATCCACACCATTGAGTATGTCACCGCAGTTGTTGGACGCGATCCTTAGATCCTCGGATGCGGCGGATTTCTCTACCGAAGAGCTCACTCGCCTCCAAGAAGGGATTTCTCAGCAGCTGACGACTCGTGCGCATCGCGCTTCCCAACTTCATCAACCTGTACGTGCATCACGGGGAGTTGCACCACCAGAGACGGTGGGGATCTCTGAACCATACCGGCCTGTTAATTCCTCCGACAGCTGCAAAGCCAAGGCGAAACCTATCTTCGAGCTAAATGAGGACTAGATGCACGCGAGTGGGGTAGCGGACAAAATAAGGGTGGTTTTGACGCTTGCGTGACCTGGCTTGGTTGTTGCTTGTACATGGTTGTGCATCGTGCATGTTCCTTTATCAGCTGGATCGGAGCCCGCGATACGCTTTGCCTCTCACTTCGACATGGACATCGAGAATTCGAAGCAGCACCCATGGCTCGAATACTCGGTCTGGCAGGATCAGGAGTGGGTGCGGATCTACACTCCAGGACAGACTCAGCTATGGCAACCCGGTGAAACCGTACCTGATCTACCAGACAACTCTTTTCGGGAGTGGAAGCGGGAAACTGATCCCAGTGGTGGGTTTGGTGAACACGGTCAGGCATGGACGATTCGCGACTGGCAGCATCAAGGATACCAACGCATTCTGTCTCGAAGGGAGTCCTTCACTGCACATCATGCCCGAGATCCAGCACTTGGAAATGTGCGGAATTCCGATGCAATTCCAGTTGAGGAGACGTTCACCTATGCCGCTCCGTTTTCTCATGGTGATCGCTCGACTGCTGCACAACTCACTTCAGTCCTCTATGGCGACACTCGTAATGCTCAACGTGGTGACTTTTCGTTCCCGTCTTCTGAGCGGTTAAGGGCTGTTTCTCGTTCCCCTCGCCGCGGTGGAATTTTTGGTCAACGATAGGGACACGGAGTTGAGCATGTGATCTTCCTTCGGAAAAAGTGACTCCTCGCCCCTCATTGAGGGGCGTGTGTGTGCGGAGTGACAGAATGCCCTGTCACCACCCTTTCGGTTTATCAGCAGGGGGACCAGGCGTCTTGCTGCTGACCTGGTCTAACAAAGCTAGGCAGCAAGACGGGATACCGGAGTTGGCCACTCCGGCGTACCTGCGACAGTTCCCACACCTGTTGTGCAATGTCCATTTGGCCCGTTGTTTTCTCGCTGTGTGTGCTTCATGTTGAATCTCGTAACGGTTTCGTCACTAAAGGGAAACCGAGTGCATTGCGAGCAGAGCCTACACCTACTCGAGACTCACCAGTTGTACTCGAGACTCATCAGTTGTACTCGAAAGATTAGCACTCTCCATTTGGAGTTCAAGTGTGTGTGTTGGTTGTTGTGTTTGTCCTTGTGCCTGAGGTTGTGTGCGTGTGTTTGTGTGTTTGTATTTAAATCGTTTGTGTGTTTTTGTTTTGTGTGTTTGTGTTTTTGTTCGTGAATCTGGTTGGCTGGCTGGCTTGCTTGATTCCTGGCTTGGAGCTTGCCTGCTTGCTTGCTTCCTTGCTTCGTTTGCTGTGGTTCCTTGCTTGCTTGCTTCCTTCGTTTGCTTTGTTTCCTTGCTTCCTTGCTTCGTTTGCTTTGTTTGCTTGCTTGCTTCCTTTTGCCTTTCCTTGCCTTGTTGCCGTGTTTCTTTGCCCCGTTGTTTTTTTTGATTTGTTTTTGTTCGTTTATTTGCATGTCCGTTATTACTGTATTCACCTCATTGCTTGTTCTCGGGGCCGGATGAATCAAGAAAAGGCACGAAATCCAATACAGAAAAGACGGTTCCGATTTCTAAGGGCTCAGAATCAGGGTTACCAGACAAGAGAACTCATATTTTCATTAAGCTTGTAGCTAGCCCCCGAACCAGCTGGCGTTCCTTGCTTTTTACTACGCCACACAAACAAACTGACAAATGTATTTGTGACCCCAAACTGATATACCCATCGACTGAGCCTGCTGAAACTTCGCTCAGTCAACAATTTCCCAAGGAGTACAAACAAGAATCTCAATTACTTGTTTGCGCAATCCAAACGCCTCTAAACCTACTACACGAAGCAGCTCTAATTGATTCTAATTGTGTCTACATTGACAATTATACCTCAAGCTCGAAGGGGACCAAATTCGACAGCAGTTTTCATCACCTTTCTCAATGAGGGGCGGGGGAGGAGGTGCGTGGCCTTCAGCAATCAGAGTTGTTTGATGTTTCAGCGCACATTATGTGAGTGATGAGATGGTGTGCACCTACGAGCCGCCCCTCAGGCCTGGAAGAAGGAAGCAGATGATCCGGACGTGGCGATCTCCAAGTATCTCAGCGCCGTTTTGCGACACAACGCGGCGGGGCTTGCATGTCACAGGGCGGTTAACGAACTCCGGCGAGGTGGAGCTGAAGCTGGACATGCGGAAGGATGGCTACGTGAAGGCCAAGGAGGCCACCGGAAGTGAAAGTCGATCGCCTCGGCAAGAGAGATCTGAAGCGAAATCCAGGTACTGGAATTGCCTTTCTTGCAAGAGAAAGGCGTGGATGAGCAGGTGGGACATTGAGGAAAAGTCGTTTGATTGCGGTTGTTGTGAGTACTCTTGGTAACAGCTGCGGACCCGAAGTGTTTGTCCCTGCCCAGGAACTGACGCGTTTGGTTGAGAGCAACGCGAAGAAGCGCTTTGGGCTCTCCCACATCGATGGGGCTGGATTCTCAGCTTCGACGCGCAACGCGTTCAAGTCGTCCGCTTTTGGGGGGCGAGGAGAAGAAGAGGACCCACCCGAATTCCCCACAAACCAGGTGCCGACATACCCCCGATTTCCCCAGTCTCGGGGGCTGAGGAGTTGTACATCCGAGCCCACCAGGGTCACAGCCTACAGCAAGTTCAGGCCAGGCTGATCTAACGAGAGTCGGACAGACGGCCCTTTCGACTTGTTACATGCTTTGGGTAGACATGGTAGACGAATTCAACACCAGGTGAGCGCCCAAAAGCCCACGATGATCCTTATCTAAACAGTTTCCTAAATAGCTTCCGAGAGAGGAAAACCCTGCATCGCGAAAGCGTTTCGCGAAAGGATCATTTGTTTGTTCAGACAGCTCTTGGGGCAGGCAGCGCGTTCAAAGCGCAGGAGCTGACCTTGCGAGAGTGCACATTTGCCCTGTGTTGTATTAGTGTGCACAGGCTGCTTGCCAATTTCGAAAATGTGCGCGGATTTCCGCAAAAGCTCCGCGAAAGGTGCGGGTTTAATTATTGCACTGAAAAGTTGCGATTTGCAAGCTGGAGCTACCAAAGCGCATTTGGTCTACTACTCTTGCACCAAAAAGCCGCCCTTCTAGTCTAACCGCGAAAGCGCCGCGAAAGGGTTGATGCAACATACGCCCGCGCGAAAGGAAATCACACGCACGAAAGCTCGGCGAAGGAGCGTTATGCGGGCAATCAAAACTCGACCTATTTTGAGCAGCGCTCAGGTTTGGATTGTGACCCTTCGTGGCTTTGGAGATGGCTTTAAGCGGCTTAAACCCACCATCAAGAACCTAGGCGGCCCCAGGCCCCAAGGTACGGGGCCTCTGCCAAACAAAACCCGCCATTTGCTGCATGCAGGATGTGGATCTCTTAGAAGAGATCACCACATTCGAGGAGGCCTGGCAAAGCCAAACATCGATAGTTTGAAGGGGCAGCAAGCAAACTTCCCTGTAGATTCAGACGGAACTCAAAGCGACACAATCTTTAGCGGAATCTCCCTTTTGGTCGGAGGCCCCGTTTGTGGCTTCCATGTGAATGTGCAGGTCAAGCTGGATGCAGGGATTTGCGATACAGTCCGCAGCAACGAAGCAGCATTCTAGGATCTAACGTATCGTGATTGTGTCCGGGAGGGTCGCTTTTGCCACTTTTGTTGTAGCCCAAACAACTATAGAAGCAAACACGGTATTTGACTTCTATTCAGCACTAGTAGTACTTCCAGTTGTCATATATGAATATAATATGATATATGTCCAGATATCCAGGAGCTTGGGCCAGAGACAAGTTGCTGATTGCCAACCTTATAAGCTCCTCCATCCTCAATTGCCAATTGCTTGCCGATGGAAAGCGCCAGGAGGATGTCCTCTGCCATGGCACCTTCTGGGAGCCGTGGCAAAGGCTCGGTTTCAGCGAGAAGCCTTTCCTTGCTTCGTAGAATTTGATCTCCAAGCGTTCGGTTTGTTTTTGTTGGTGGGTGGGTCTTTGCCCAAGAATGCGGGACTGGACTTTGAACGCGAATCGACCTCCTGACCTTTGGCTGGTTCCCTTTCCACTTTCACCCCAAGATCCCAAGAGACAAACCTTTGATTTTCGGATCCAGGGCGCAGGGAAACTCTCTGCAAGGTTCTCCGTCCACACCGCGAATTGCTTTTTGAGAGCCCAGATTGCACCAGCTCTTTTTGTGTTATATGGAATGGACACGGCCAAAGACTGACCACTATTGCCTTCTGAGGATTAGGGGAAGATTCATTCAGCCCAATTCACTTCTTTAAAACCCCGGTTTCGAGAGCTGGCTATGTGTCCAGAATTTGATTGGATGTGGAGAAAGCCAACCCTTTGGAAGGGTCCCACTTCAGGGCTCTTGGCTTCAGTGCTTCGGGTGCGAAGAGTTTAAAGCGGAATCATGAACCCAACTGCTTGGAGGGATTGTTTGACATGCAATGCATGAATCCATCCCAACGGTTTCAGCCCCAATGCACCAAGGCCAAAAAGTGAAACCGAGCGTGGAAGCACGCGTGCCGTGCTCAAATCACCCTTTTACTTGGTTGGCAGGGATTTAGAAAACTATGATCAGGATTCGTAAAAGGGGAGCCGTGACGCACATTGATTTGGCACTCCTGTTTGTCAGGATACAAGAAGACGCCTGTCTCAGGACACTGCATTGTAGCAATTCTTGCAAGCACATACAGTTAGATTCCCAAGATCACCACGTTGTTGTTGCCGGTTTGGTGTGAGTTGTTATGGCTGAAGACTGTACATCTGAAGGACAATGGGCCGCAATCACATACACCTCGTGTCCAAAGACTTGACGCGCGAGGAGGGAGGGAGAGAGAGCGAGAGAGCAAGATGGAGAGAAAGAGAGAGAGAAAGAGATACACGCATTCACACCTGTAGAACTGTCGTGTGACCTGAAATGCCGCCTTGAGCGGACATTTAATCAGGGGATGTACAAGTGTCAGTGGCTGACACCAAGATAGCCAAGCAAAGCTTGGGAGGCGACTCCTTGCTCTTAGGATTCTGAGACATACTCTGCTGCTTGCTGCACATTGATGTGGATTTGTGACAGTACAGTACCTCTTTGTTTTTGAGGAGGGGTTCAGGGAATATGCGGGAGGCTGATCACGGGGACGTCATGAACTTTTGATGTGGCTAGACCAGGGGATCAAATTCTTCCAGGGCCTCAGAAAATTATAGCACGCACGCTCACTGCTCCCTTTTGGCCAAAGCACCCGGCCCAAGGGATTTTGACACCACACACCTAGACCTTGACCAAAGAAAAGTTGTTCCGCTACTGAAAGTTTCCCTTAGTATCATCTTGATTGTCCCTCAGTTCCTGCACACGGCATGTTTGTGGAAACAAGGGGTAGGGCCATTTGCTGTGATGCCAAGGGAATCCCCTTGAAAGTGGCAGAGTAGATAAGAATGTTCTGATCCTTTCCCACCAGTTTAGAGGCTAGGTTAAACATGTGGCTCCCATGGGAGCTCGCAAGGAGTTTCGCAACACTGCCCGGCGCTTGGGTTTAGCCCAAGGTTTGGATGGGACGATTCCCTCACAATCCAAGGCTAAGAAATATGGCTATGAGTTTGAATAGGGAACCGCCTCACATGTGGTTGGACGTGAATCCCCGCCAAAGGGTCCCTATTCAAAATCATGGCCATATGCCAACAATTGGCCAATTTGGAGGGATGTGCGTAAATATGTCCTACATCCAGTCTTGAAAGGACCAGACAGGCCGACAGAATAGCATTTTGAGGCCCAAGTTCAGTGCCTGCGTTGTCAAGCTTCGTCCAAGAAAAAACACCACCCCACAGATGTTTTCTAAGGTGATCAGTGGCGCCAGAGGAGAATTCGACGTCATTGCTGCTCGTCTATGAGCCGAATGGACGGTTTCAGGATTCTTAAATGCGGTAGTTGTCTTCCACCCTCAATCCAATAATTGACTTGATTGCTTCATTTCAATCCTTAGCTGTCTCAAGCTACGTGGACGTTGCTCATTAGAGTCGGCAGAGGATTAGCGCATATTCACGCATTTCCCTGTTGCAAGGTCTTCATTGTTCGGCTCTCAGCATAGCGCTTGTGCAACTTTCAGCTTCGCGGGCTGAAGCTCCTCTCAGCCTCTCAAAACGGGGAATGGGAAAGCCAGCCAAGTGGCTCGCCTAAGGAAAGGAAAGGGGGCGCGAAAAGGAGCGACCCAGAAACCGCGCATTGGAACCTAAAGCGAAAGGAGATCTCTGCCTGCGCTCCCCAATTGGCGCACAAGCATAATTGATGATTTGGGACATCCATAATCTCAGGTTTCATAGCACAAACAAGAGACAGAGGGTTCAAACAACCGACAACTATGAGTACCCGCATGAGCACTGAGAAACGATAGATGACTCGCTAGCATTGAATGCTTTTTGCAGTTTTCTGCCGCGTAACTTGGCACGGCGGCGTCCTGAACTGAGGGTGAGGGGAACCCCATAGATGTTTAGTTTCCTCTTGGTTTCCCTTTTAGCATCCCCCCCCTTAAAGGAGGCTCCCTTCCCCTTGAATGGTGGTTTGTCAATTGCAACTTGCCACACCAGAAAGGGCAGATTGCGGGCCCTGGTTCTTCAAATGCATTTCGATCTGCGAATCTCCCCGCCTGTGCCTTGCTCATCAGGATAACCTTTGAACCTTTGGGAAGGCTTAAGCGCAAATCGAGAGCCGGAAGCACCTCTGTTTGTGGATCTTTCTTCGGGCTGACGCAGTTGACATTATGCAAAAAAGACGGATATGTTTAGTAAAATTTAGCGTAAGCTTCCTTTGGGCTTCAAGATTGTCTCCAGCACTAGCCTCCAATCCTGAACGTTTGAGCATCAGGGTGACATTGTCATCCTCCCACCTCCACTTTGGTGCTCCTTGCTTGCCACCTCACGTGGGCTGCGAGCCACGGCAGCGGAACAAGCGACAAGTCTCATTCTCCTCCTGATCAGCCCATATCATTCAGCCTCGTGAATCTCGTGCCTTTGGACAAGCCTGGTTGTGAAGAAATGGAAAGCTGCGGAATCAGTCGGTAGCAAGCCGCATAGGCTTGGACTTGCTATTCCTTTTAAGCGCATCCGCCTAAGCAAGTAGCCACTGCAAGTAGACCTCCGTGCCTAAGAGGATTTGTCGAGATTTCAGGGGTTTCACTTCCCGGCACGTCAAAGCTATGCGCGGAAGCCATCCTTGACGCAAAGATCCTTTCGCCTTGGAGCTTTGACTGACTGCTTGCCATGGTTCAGCGCACCAGTTGCATGCGAAGCAAGCTGTGCTTGGAGCTTTGTTGCAGACTGAGTTTTAAAGCAATGAGCCAAGCTTCAATGCATTCTCCTATCATGAAATATGCAGACAATACGCTGTTCAGGATCCAGCACAGGCAATGGCAGACGGAATCACATTTTGCCGCAGTGCAAACGATGCACGGGCCCAAGATTGATCACTGCACGACTGGTATCCCTGGCCAGCAGCGAGCCAAGGTGGTGCTGACCAGAGGTCTTCTCCCCAGTTGATTTGCTCCAAAGCTTTGTGCTTCTTAAAATAGGGGTGCCCTGTTGGGATGATTTCAGAGAGAACCAAAGGCAACCAACCATCTGAAGCACCCAGCTGGCAACTTGCACAGGTCTAGAAGACACTGAAGGAAATGGCGGCTCTCTGCCAAAACGATGCTGGTCCCAAGTGCTCGTCTGGAATTACGAGGCCTGTAGGACCGAATCAGACGTGCCATGCCTGTCACTCAAAGTAAGATCTGCAGGCACTCTGCTGGGAAGCGTGGGAAGATCCGTCTGAGGAGCCATCTGAGGAGACAGCGTCGTGAAAAAGGTGGATCGATCATTTATCAGTTTATGGTACCTACCCGAATACATGGTTGTGCAAGACATGTTACATAGTATATATATATACATACATTAGGCATGCATTTATCACAATATGGTCTTGATGTTTAAATGCGTGGATATGAACCACAGCTAACTGCCGACTTGCTTTAACCCCTTGCGCAGTTGGAACATAAGTGACAATTAAAGATGACAGGCCTAAGATTTGCTGCAGCACCCGACTGAAATGGAACCGACTGCAACACTTATTGATGCTGTGTTCTGCAGGTCGGCCCCAATTCAGTCCTCGGGCCCCTCCCCCAAAAAATTAGTATTAGGGGGCGTCTAAGGCAGGGAATTTTCAGTTTTCAGTTTCAGGGGCAGGGTTCATTTTCAACAAGCAAACCATTTTGTCCAAAACACCAAGGGGGATTGTAGGGAATTTTCCTAAATTTTCTCAACATGTTTTTACAATTTTTCCTTTTTCAATAAGTCAATCAATGACACCCTTATTCATTATTTACAGTTTTTCAATGAGGTAATTATCACCACCTTATTTGTTTTTTCAACTCATTAATTTTTAGTTTTTCAATAAGTATGTAAAATTGATGATTAATAATATCATAATGAAATAATATTATCAATCAAATTATTGTTTGTTATGTATTCTTTCCATATTTGAAATATGCTTTAAACTTTTAACGTGTCTGCCTATATCATATTTCTTTACTATATCATTACAATAGAAACAATCTACATATTCGTCATCCCGCTTTTCTTTTGCCTTGGTCAATAGTTCAGTTTTATGTTCTTTGTAATATTCTTTATTGTATTGACTTACCTTATCATTATGTTTTTGTCTATATCTTCGTCTTGATTCTAAACAAATATTACAGTTTTTATTTTCGTTCTCAAAATTATCAAGTGTCCTTTTCATTTTACATTTAGAGCATTGTTTCATTTCTTCGGTCATTTATTCCTACTATATTAAGGGGTCTTTTCTTTAAACATTTTCAAGGGTCATTTCTCAACATTTTTTTACAATTTTTTCATTATGAAACAGTCTAAGATATTGACATTTTCAAGGTTCGGGTTTCAGACAATTTTAAGGCTTTCTGGGGGATTGAAGAATTTAATCGTATTATAAGATAATAATATAAATAAACTGACTGAATTACACAGGTTCATCAACAATTAGTTTAAACCTTATGCTTTTTTAAACCTTCAAAATTCATTTAATGGCGATGTGGACATGGAGGATGACCCTGACTTGTAAGGTTCAATACCCCAGTGAGTGAAGTTGAAAACCCACTTCCTACTTTTTGGGACAAGTAGGAAATTGAAATCCTACTTTTTGGGACAAGTAGGAAATTGAAATCCTACTTTTTGGGACAAGTAGGAAACCTACATTATACTTTCAAGCAGGTCATCCAAATCCACAATTTAATCAAAACGATTAAATGCCAAGTAGGAAATCTACATCCGACTTCGGTAGGTCGCCTGTAAATCTTGTCATATTTGCTTAAATCACAGAAAGACAGACATCAGGCAAAGAGGATGAAAAAGCGTGCTTTTGTGTTTATTTTTCAGGTGTTCACTCAAACTCGTTTTTGGGGTGTCCTCCCAAACTCTTTTCGGGTTGTTCCCTAAACCCTCACATCAACAACATCCATAACCTCAATCCCAGACCCACCAGCAACCCACCCCCCAAATATACTTAAAGAGAAAATACCATATATAGTATAGAGAAATGGCAGGGGAATACAGCACGGGTTCAGTAATTGAATATTTAATATCCAATAATGAAGGTCAAATAAAAACAGGGAAGAATAACAAACCATTGAAAAAACTAATCATCAACAACAAAGAATACTATTACAACAAAGACAAACCATTATCCACATCACTTCAAAACAAACTCAATCAAGTCAGCAACACACAAGGTTTCAAACGATTTAATCTTCTAAAAAAAGCATCAAACACAATGAGAGGCATTAAAACGATCCAAAAATACAGATTAAAAATAGGAGCAAAAACATCAGAGACATTTTCGGCATTGAAAGGATATGCCAACACATATACAATATCCAACATACCATTCAAGGGATACAAAGGATTAACATATCTTTTATGGCAAGAAAAGAAACTAACAGAGTTTTTACAACAAGCAAAGTCAATGAAACTACTGATTGATGTTGAGGTTATTTTTGATAAACTTAGACAGCAAGAAGAGGATGATGGAGAAGATGAACCAACTGAGGAAAATATACAAATAAAACACAATATGAGGAGTAGGAGATACAACATTTTGAATGTAGGAGACTTGAAAAAAGCATTGGAAAATATACCTAAAGATATTGAACTACAAATTGAAAACTCACCTTTGAAACATTCAGGATTGAAGATTAATAAGATTAACAAAATCACCATCCACTACGACAAATACAATCCGAACAGAGCAGGAAGATATATGGAACTACCAGAATGGATTTCAAAGAAAAAAGCATGTATCAACATTCAAAATGATGATGAATTATGTTTTAAATATTGTGTTTTATGTAAATTTTATGAAGTCTTCAAGAAAGACCATCCACAACATATGAGACACTACAAGAAATTAATAACTACTGAAAGTCTAATTCAATGGGATGGTGTAAATTTTCCAGCATCCAATGATGACATAGACCATTTTGAAGAAATCAATAACAAATCTATATCAGTTAATGTTTATGTTGAAGATGAGAACCAAACCATCAGAGCAGACAGAATAACAAAAATTGAAAGACCATCTTGTCATATTAATTTGTTACGAATTGAACAAAACAACAACGAACATTATGTTTTAATAAAAGATTATAATAGATTAATGGGTAGTCAAACCAACAATCACAAAACAAAGATATTTCATTGTATTTACTGTCAGCACGGTTTTCAATCAGAAAAACTTTTAAATTCTCACTTAATAAAAGGTTGTATGGCAAATGACATTCAACAAACAAAAATGCCAGAAGAAGGAACAACAATGAAGTTTGAAAAGCATTTTAAGAAACTGAAAGCTCCATTTGTTATTTATGGTGATTTTGAATGTTTAACAACAGAAACATCAGAAGGTATCAAAGGGACTTATCAGAACCATAAACCCAGCGGTTATATGCTTAACCTTGTTAATGCTTATAGTGGAGAAATGAAACCATTTTTATATAGAGGCGAAGATTGTATGGATAAATTTTGTGATACATTAAACAATATTAGAGACGATGTAATGAAACAAATGAAAAATCCAAAAGATATGATTATGTCAGATTTAGATGAAATTAAACATTTAGAAGCTAAACAGTGTTTCTTATGCAATGGCGCTTTTGACAACAGAGTAGAAGCGAAAAAGAAAGTTGCTGACCATTGCCACTTTACTGGTTTATACAGAGGAGCGGCACATATGAAATGCAATATAGACTAT